TTAAAACTGCACTAAACAAACCAAAGCGAACAAAACAAAGAAAGCAGTGACAACATTAAAGGTAACAACCCTTTATAGTCCATACTTTATGATGTATAAATAAAGGCTCCAGGCTACAAAATGTCCAAGTTCATTATTAAACTCCTCTTGAAAAGAAAGAAAATAGTGGGGACCAGAGTTCTTGAAATGTCTGCAGTTGTTTTTTTCTAAGGTCAGTCTCTCTCGTGGTAGGAATTGTGATAATTGATCCAGGAATAGCTGTGAAGTAGGAGGGGACTCATTTTTCCAAAAATAGAAGTATACATTTCTTTGCAAAGTATGTTATGGTAATTAATATTCTACATTTTTTCAGATGTAATTGGAAATCTGGCATATCCTTTAATGAATACAAGGACCAATGTTGTGAATGAATGAACCGAATTCCAGAAATGTTTTAACAGTATTTGCCAAAAAAATATGCATGAATGTTCCTTCTTCAGTTTCGCATGTCGGACAGTCAGCTTTATTGTCTTTGGAAATTGTATGCATTCATATGGGAGTGAGAAAAAATATATGGATAAACTTGAAATTAATGTCCTTGATGTTGTTACACGTGAATGTAAAATGTTTTCTTTCACAAATGTTTAACCAGGTATTTTCGTCTAAAACCATCCCCAGATCTTTTTCCCAAATCTTTAAAAAGGTTGGGAAAGATGAATAATCTCCTTTGGCTATAATATTAAAATTCTCTAATCTTACCCCTAATTGTAAATTAAGGAAATTACTTCAGATAATTCAAAAATAAACTAATTTTCTTTGATAAGAAAACGAACAACCTTTAGTTTTTCTTTGACACTAACTCTGTATCAGGGGAGTTTTTAAATTGAATGATATCTGATGTAGAGACAAGGAGGACAAGAAACATACACCGACATGTTTTGCATAAATTACCAGTTTTACTCCATAAAAATGTAACCTGTACAACAAGACTAAACAATAAGGTAAAAAAAAAAAAAAAAAAAGACTTTTGGACCTCCTTGTGAAAACTCAACTGTAAACTGCAGTATTATTTCGGCTCTTCCTGTCCTTTGATTATTAGTTTGAACTTAACCTTACTCACAGTTAACTTGTTAAATCAAGTTAAAAAAAAAAAAAACATCAGACCTATTGGGACACTCACTGATTCATGGAACAAAAAGCTGAAGGGTTACTGTAAATATTAGCAGTTTGAGCTGCAATGATCTTTAAAAATATTCATAAAAAGAACAGAGAACAATTCTATACAATGTGTATCATGTCTTAAAACGTTTATCCTTTCTGCATGCACATTTAAGTAGGGTTTTCTTTCAACATTCACAATTATAAAAATATAAAAAACACATGTTAAACAATAAAATAGCTCAACATCATAAACAAAATATATGAATGTAAAAGAAGTTATTTTCACAATTTCAACATTTCAGGAGTTCAGGCATACTTGGTTCAGTTCATAGGGTTGGATGTGGAACATTTTCAGCACACAGTCCTGTTCCTGTTTAGTTCATGATTTAAATGATAAAACCTCTTGCTTTTGTTGAATTCAAATATATTTCATGACATGTAACATCCCTATGTAACATCTTTCCTAAAGGGAATGTCACTATGTACAACTCATTTGTAAAAGCATCACAATCACAGACTGAAATCTGAGATCATATTGTAACAATTTAATTAATTAATTTGCTTTTTGAATGATGAATGCCAAATATTGCTGCAGTTTTGTATTTCTACATTCAGGCCTCTCCACCGTCTTAAATATTAAGACAAAACCATAAAACCACAAATATACAGTTTGTAGAAAATGCTTAAAGTGTCAATGTGAATAATGTGAAATACAAAACAACAGTGGAACTCACAGTCCAAAAGGAAGTTCACTGTAAACATAGATATTCATGTTCTTACTGCAGCTGCTGATGGACACCTCTCAGTGTTGAGATGACCTTCTCCATAACTGCTGCCACCTTTTGCAGCTCCACTTGTTTTCTTCGTGTCTCTGTAAAGACAATATGTTATCCTTCAGTAATCAGAATTTTAAAATGATAGAAAGGGCAATGCTGGAGCTTACCTATGTCACAAATATGTCATGAAATAGAGTGCAAAAAAACTGATATCATAGGATGTCACAGAAAAGTCATCGTATAGTATATTATAAAAAAGGTCATAGTATAGTATGTCATAAAAAAGGTCACAATATAGTAATGTCATGGTATAGTATGTCATAAAAAAGGCCACAGTACAGTATGTCATAAAAAAGGTCACAGTATAGTATGTCATAAAAAAGGTCATGGTATAGAATGTCTTAAAAAAGGACATGGTACAGTATGTCATAAAAGGTCATGGTAAAGTATGTCATAAAAAACATCATGGTATAGTATGTCATAAAAAAGGTCATAGTATAGTATGTCATAAAAAAGGTCATGGTATAGTATGTCATAAAAATGTCATAGTATAGCGGCCATAAAAAAGATCACAGTATAGTACGTCTTAAAAAAGGTCACAGTATAGTATTACTTAAAAAGGTCATGGTACAGTATGTCATAAAAGGTCATGGTATAGTATGTCATAAAAAAAAAGGTCATATTATAGTATGTCATAAAAAAGGTCATGGTATAGTATGTCATAAAAATGTCATAGTATAGTGGCCATAAAAAGATCACAGTATAGTACGTCTTAAAAAAGGTCACAGTGTAGTATTTCTTAAAAAGGTCATGGTATAGTTTGTCATAAAAAATGCCATAGTATGTCATAAAAAACATCATGGTATAGTATGTCTTAAAAAAAGGTCACAGTATAGTATGTCATAAAAAAGGTCATGGTATAGTATGTCATAAAAATGTCATAGTATAGCAGCCATAAAAAAGATCACAGTATAGTATGTCTTAAAAAAGGTCACAGTATAGTATTTCTTAAAAAGGTCATGGTATAGTTTGTCATAAAAAAATGCCATAGTATGTCATAAAAAACGTCATGGTATAGTATGTCTTAAAAAAAGGTCACAGTATAGTATGTCATAAAAAAGTCACAGTATAGTATTTCTTAAAAAGGTCATGGTACAGTATGTCATAAAAGGTCATGGTATAGTATGTCATAAAAAACATCATGGTATAGTATGTCATAAAAAAAGGTCATAGTATAGTATGTCTTAAAAAAGGTCACAGTATAGTATGTCATAAAAAAGGTCATGGTATAGTATGTCATAAAAATGTCATAGTATAGCGGCCATAAAAAAGATCACAGTATAGTATGTCTTAAAAAAGGTCACAGTATAGTATTTCTTAAAAAGGTCATGGTATAGTTTGTCATAAAAAATGCCATAGTATGTCATAAAAAACGTCATGGTATGGTATGTCATTAAAAAAGGTAACAGTATAGTATGTCATAAAAAAGGCCATGGTATAGTATGTCATAAAAAAAGGTCACAGTATCGTATGTCATAAAAACGGTCATAGAATAGTATGTCTTAAAAAAGGTCACAGTATAGTATGTCATGAAAAGCATCATAGAATGTCATAAAAAGGTCATGGTATAGTATGTCATAATAAAAGGTCATGGTATAGTATGTCTTAAAAAGGTCACAGTATAGTATGTCATAAAAAGGGTCACAGTATAGTATGTCATAAAAAAGGTCACAGAATAGTATGTCATAAAAAAGGTCATGGTATAGTATGTCATTAAAAACGTCACGGTATAGTATTTCTTAAAAAGGTCATGGTATAGTATGTTGTAAAAATTACAGTATAGTATGCCATTAAAAAATTATAAAAACTTAAAAGAAATTATATTATAATATGCCATAAAAAGTAATACAAAAAATAGCCAATGTGTCCTAATTTAGTGAGCTATAAGAAAAACCTCATAATATAGCATGTCACAAAAAATGTAAGAGTATATAACCAAGGGACCAACAAAGATCACAGTCCCTCGAGCCACACAAGAGTTTACTTCACCTTCCTGCTGTTTGGCCACAAGCTCTGCCAGTTTTCCAGAGACTGTCATCACTGAAAGTGCAAGATCATAATCTGTAGAAACAAGAGGGAGAGCTTTATATTCTTCAGTGTTTAAAACATAAATAAGGGTGAGACAGAGATGTTGTCACAGTGATCCTCCCTCACCCTCCTGGCTCGCCTGGTCTGACTGAATCCTGCTGAAGATATCGTTCATCTCGTTAATGAAACCAGTGAATATGGCCTGTGTGCATCCTGCCGTGATGCAGCTTCTCCAGAAGCTGGTGGCGTTGATGGTGGGCTCTGGGTCTGATGGAGGTCCCATGGAAGGGTAAGGGGGGGAGGGAGGGGAAGGGGGAGGGAAAGGGGGAGGGGGAGGGGAAGGGGAAGGAGGAAGCATCACAGTTACATGAACGGTCTCAGGTGGAGCTGGTGAAGTTGCTGAGGTGGTGCAAGGAGGTGAGGCCGTAACACTCCGTGGTTTGGAGTGGTCACGGGAGGGAGGGGGTCCAGCAGGGGAGGTCTCAGTTGAGATTGTGTCTACTGTTGTTGGACGTCGCTGAGGCACAGGAGACAGCAGACTCTGTGACTCAGCATCCTGAGAGGAGGCAAACACATCTCATGTTAGGTGACACAATACTGTTATGAAGCTCAGTGTAAGTTCATTTAGGAATAATTTCTTTGTGCTCATCCATTCACAATTCTCTCCCTCCCACTCCTACTGCTTCCTCTAATCAGCTGACTGTGGGTCTTCACTCTTCTACTTAGCCGATCAAACTTAGCTACGATCTCTATCTGCCAATCAGGATGCTACTGCAATATTTCAAATCAGCTCTCTCTGCTGCCGTCAGCTGTCATTTTAGGCAGAATTGTCGAGTCTCTCCTGACTGAACTGCAAATTGCCATGAGACACCATATGTGAATCTCAAATAAGTTTATAGAGTAAGGGATTAAACAGCCTCCCGAGGCAGACAAATATCATCATATACTGTATACTCTAGTGAAATTTCAGGAAGGTATGAAAAAAAATGATACTGCCAAAGCCTACTGGACATCGTCTCGTCTCAGTCATGGAAAAAAAGGTTGTTGACGAACGTATAGAGATATAGTTTTTGTTAACAAAACTAACGCTGTCCAGGACTAAATGAGAAATTAGGAGACGTGCTGGAATGTTCATTACAGTATAACAAAATGATCAGAGTTTTGGAAAAACAGACATACACACTGAAGACAAGACAACATGTATGACTCACTGAATGTATCATTGTTTCATCTTCACTTCCATCTCCTCTCTCTTCCTCTGGTTGACTTTCTGTGAGAGACAGCAGGAGTTTACAAACCATNCAGTGTTTAAAACATAAATAAGGGTGAGACAGAGATGTTGTCACAGTGATCCTCCCTCACCCTCCTGGCTCGCCTGGTCTGACTGAATCCTGCTGGAGATATCGTTCATCTCGTTAATGAAACCAGTGAATATGGCCTGTGTGCATCCTGCCACGTTGCAGCTTCTCCAGAAGCTGGTGGCGTTGATGGTGGGCTCTGGGTCTGATGGAGGTCCCATGGGAGGGGGAGGGGAAGGGGAAGGGGAAGGGGAAGGAGGAAGCATCACAGTTACATGAACGATCTCAGGTGGAGCTGGGGAAGTTGCTGAGGTGGTGCACGGAGGTGAGGCAGTAACACTGCAAGGTTTGGAGTGGTCACAGGAGGGAGGGGGTCCAGCAGGGCTCTGCTGTGGGACAGAGGGTCCAGCGGTGTGTTTATCGGGACTCTGGACAGGAGCCTGCTCAGGAGTGGATCCTAAAAAACAGTGATGGCTCCATGTGTTATCCCATCTTACATAACCTCACTAGGTTACAGTGACATAATTTGCAAACATCCTGCAACAACAGAGCCCTCTTAAGATCACTAGACATTTGCTGTATCCTATTTACAATACATTATTGATTTCAAGGCCTTGTTTACCCATGAAAATGCTCTATCCCCCTCTCCCTGTCACCTACCTTCTGTCTTAACCAAATCCTCATCTGGAAGTGCAGGTGGGGAGGTCTGAGTTGAGACTGTAGCTACTGTTGTTGGATGTCGCTGAGACACAGGAGACAGCAGACTCTGCGACTCAGCATCCTGAGAGGAGGCAAACACATCTCATGTTAGGTGACTCAATATTGTTATGAAGCTCAGTGTCAGTTCAATCAGGAAGACTTTCTTTGTGCTCATCCATTCACAATTCTCTTCCTCCCACTCCTACTGCTTCCTCTTAGAAATTAGGAGACGTGTTCAGAGTTTCGGAAAAACAGACATACACTCTGAAGACAAGACAACATGGACAACTCACTGAATGTATCATTGTTTCATCTTCACTTCCATCTCCTCTCTCTTCCTCTGGTTGACTTTCTGTGAGAGACAGCAGGAGTTTACAAACCATTTGTACATTACACATCTTGGCTAGGTACATTGTATACACTGAATCTGCAGTGACAGCCTACCTGAGATGTACAGAACGGGACTCTCAGTGTCTTTTCTGTAAGTGGAGAACATCATCAAACAATTATCCTCTAATTTATTTTTACGGAGTGACCAGACAAAAGAGAAACTGAACATCTCAATGCAGTCCAGTACAAAACTCCTCTGATAAAAACTAACATTTAAGGTACTCAGTAATGTTGACTGAGAGGTGATAATGAAACTGTGGTCATGCTTGAGGCTTTAGCTTGTATCTTTGTTATACTGGATTGCATTTTAATGTAACATCTTTCAATCTACTGCAATACACCACAAACTACAGAACACACCACAGAAATGAGTCAACACAGAAAATATTAGCTTCAGCAACATCACACAGTGTAAAACACAAACATCACTGCAAACTGTAAATATCCTAAAATAAACTTAGTGCACACTTGTTTTCAGTTTATCACTGAAATTTGATCTCACCTGATCAACTGCAGAGAGAGAGGCAAAAAACAAATGAAAGAGAAGAAAATTTATTATTATAATATCATTGAACATCTCTAATGATTGTGTTACATACTGAGGAATAATCAAAGATTAGACTTACTTCGGGCTCGTAAACAGAGTTTACACAGCTTTCTAAATCCGTCTCTAAAGGGGCAAATATTGCCATGTCTGAATCAGGTATACTGTCATCTGTAGAAGAAGGGAAAATAAAATAATCTGTGTTTTAACCGCTTCATACAAACGTATACAATAAATTTCTCTCATGTCTTGCATGTGGGTTCACCTGAATCTGAAGAATCATCTGTTTGTATGACTCTGGGGCTTTTAAATTTACGTTTAGAGGGCGTTTCGTCTTGTCTGTGTCTGTGACAGAAAGGAGAGATCAGTCATTATAACAATTATTACAGTTAAACATTCCTCAGACCTTCATCAGGCTACGTTGTCACTAAAACTTAGAGAGATCTTCTTAGGAAAGAGTCTATATCTTAAAGAACGGCAGAATTATCACACACTTACTTATCACTGGGTTCACACCGTCTCTGTTTCAAAAAACAAAAGCAGCGTTATTAATCACTGAATCATTTTTTAAATAAATGAAATAGTATTAAAAGTTCTATTTAAAGTGACTGAATAATATGTGCACCTTGAAAGATGAAGGTGTTGCATTGTTCGATGAGCTGGAGTCACTGCTGTACGCAGACAATGGTCTGGGGGCTTTAGCGCAACCTGTCAAGAACAGATATTTAATGTGTGATATTAAAACAAAAAATAATTTAAAACACGTGCGCTCTGAGCAGGACTTACCATTAGAGTTCCTCTTGTGTGATGAAGGAGCATGTTTGTCACAATATAACCTACAAACAGGCATGGCGTGCTGTTACAGAGCAGATTAGAAACATAGAAATGTTTAGTTATCGAGAAAGATGGGAGCATACTTACCTCACAGCGTTATTGGACAAACTATCCAAGCTGATGCTTCCTTCTGTCTCCTCACAGGTAAGGCAAAAAACCTCAAGGAAAAATAAAAATGGATATCATTACTTGCCAAAACATTTTTGGGGTCAGATAAAACCCTTCTGTGTATTCTGAATTTTCTACTCCCAGAAATGAAAACAGAAATTTAAAAAGAAAAAGCAGATTATTGGGCCCTTTTAAGATTTCCACTTTTCAAAGGACAGTTCACCCCAAATAAAAAAAAAAAACTTATTTTCCCTCTTACCTGTAGTGCTGTTTATCAATTATCTAGATTGTTTGATGTAAGTAGCAAAATGTCAGGGTGCCCAGTAGTTCACCTGGTAGAGCAGGTGCCCCATGCACAAAGGCTCCGTCCTTGCCGCAGAGGCCAAGGGTTCGTCTTTGACTCCCTCCCTCCCATTTTCTGCTAACACTGTCCTATTGATTAAAGGCAAAATGCCCAAAAAATATCTTTTAAAAAGTTGCTGAATGTTGGAGATATCAGCCATAGAGATGTCTGCTTTCTCTCCAGTTTAATGGATATGGGCGATTGATTATACAGGAAGGTTAGAGTAAGAAAGCGATGACGTGGTTGCCTGGCAACAATAAAAAGGCGCAGCATGCG